GACCAAAAATCCAAGCTCATCCGCATAGCGGAAATACCAGGGCTCGAAGGCCTTCAACCCCGATCGCCGGTTTAGGGCTTTGGGGTTTGGTTTGGGGTCTAGGGTTAGGGTGGGGTTTAGGGTGTATAGGGATTGGAATTTGAGGTGTAGGATTCAGGGTCTGGGGTTCAAGGGTTAGGGTTCGAAGTTCGGGGCTTAGGGTTCTAGGGTTTGGGGTTGGGGTTTGGAGTTTGGAGTCGCGGGGTAAGGTGTTACGGCCACGTCGCTGGTCAACCCACCCCGGCCACCGGCCACCCACGCTACATGCAAGCTCTTTCGACTTAGTAAGTCTATTTAGTATTCCCTATAGAACTCCATTCTATACCCCCAGAACTCAACTTCCTAACACTACTTGCTATATAAGTCAAAGGGTTGGCCCACTTTTAGGGGCCTTCGGCGCCCAGCTTGAACAGCATGAGGACCGCTTGAAGGTGCATGGTACTTCTTCACCCAGTCAAAAGTGTACAAATCCCAACTATCACCCATACAAGGGCCTTACCAGCGGGCCAGAAGTACCCTAAACCCTAAACCCTAAACCCTGAACCCTGAACCCTAAACCCTAAACCCTCAACCTTGAGGGGCTCATACGTGATAAGTACACGTACAACTTACCGATGGTTGTTGCTTTGTGTGACTACGGGCTTCAGGCCTGGGGGCCCTTCGGTGCATGCAGCTGAGGCCCTCTAAAAGGCCGGAGTTTGCTTTCAAGGGTTTAGGGTTTGGGGTTTAGGGTTTGGGGTGCTGGGTTTAGGGTTTAGGGTTCAGGGTGTAGGGTTTAGGGTTTAGGGTTTCGGGTTTAGGCTCGGAATTTCAGACATGAAGGGCGTCTGAAGGCTAGATTTGCTTTGAGAATTGAAGAGTACGACCCCCTGTCGGGCCGCGGAAAACCCCGGACACCCGGAGAAAGTCTTGTCAGACGGCAACTTCTCTTCCAAGTGAGACCGAAACCCTGAACTGGGGATGTTCCCCCTTCCACTAACTATAAGTGGGAACTCTATGCCTCAATCCCCTAAGACCCCCCCAGGCACGCAAGGCGCCTTTTGGTGCAGTCTGGCTCCATTGAAGCCAAAGCTCTTGGCCAACAGGACATCTTGCTTCAGGTCCTCCTTTGTCCTAGGTTCTAGGGGACAGGGATTAGGGTTTAGGGTTTAGGGTTTCAGATCCTCCTTTGTCCTCCGTTGTCCTCCGTTCTCCAATAACCAAAGGGAAAAAAGGTTCAACTTTACTCTTCCTACTGAACAAGGAAACCCAAAAAAGTTTAGAGTTCAATTCTTGGCCAAGCAAGTGTCCTAGGTTCTAGGGGACCAGGGATTAGGGCTTGGGGTTCAAGGTACAGGTTCTAAGGCTGTTGGGTGGAGTTGCTCGAGGACGGCAATCTTCAGGAGGGGGCTCCCGAAACCCTAAACCCTAAACCCTAAACCCGAAACCCTAAACCCTAAACCCTGAACCCTGAACCCCAAACCCTATAGAAGGAATTCAATCAGCAATAAGATGTAAAGGTCCGGCAGGGGTTTGTGTGTATCAGTGTACTCGCAAGGGGGGAGTGCATCCTTTGAGTGCACCTTTTCTTGCGCACTCGAGTAGCCTAGTAGCCCCTAAACGCTAAACCCTAAACCCTAAACCCTAAACCCTAAACCCTAAACCCTAAACCCTAAACCCTAAACCCTAAACCCTAAACCCTAAACCCTAAACCCTAAACCCTAAACCCTAAACCCTAAACCCAAAACCCTAAACCATAACCCTAAACCCTAAACCCTAAACCCTAAACCCTAAACCCTAAACCCTAAACCCTAAACCCTAAACCCTAAACCCTAAACCCTAAACCCTAAACCCTAAACCCTGAACCCCACTCCCCACAGGCAGGAGGGGGGGAGGGGCAGAGCGACCGGCCTTGACAGACCTAGCAAAGCTACAGGCTCCATCATGGGGAAGGCCCTATGGAGGTTTCAGGGGCCCAGGAAATTTTTAAATGGCCCCAGAAGGTCCGAGTAAAAAACTTGGGTCAGCTGCGCTACATCGCATTGCCTCCCAGGTCCCCGCGCGCGCGCGCGCGGTCAGAGCCGTCCGATTGGCTCGAGCACCCATGTATACAGGCAGCGGTGCTCTCGCCAATTTCGGGGTGAGGTTTAGGTTTAGGTTTTAGGGTTTAGGTTTTAGGGTTTAGGGTTTATAGGGCTTAGGGCTTAGGGTTTAGGGTTTAGGGGTAGTTTACTCAACTGCTGCGTAAACTCTGTGAAATAGAGGCTTGGAGTTGCGACCCTGCGAACGAGAAAGTGAAGATCGGGCATGCAAGCGGCAAATGCTTGGTCAACGGGCAGGGCAAAATCAGCGAGGCGGACGGGAAACAACGTTGGGGTTTTGGGACCCTCCTGAACCCTGAACCCTAAACCCTAAACCCTAAGCCCTAAACCCTAAACCCTAAACCCTAAACCCTAAACCCTAAACCCCAAGCCCTAAACCCGAAACCCTACCAAAAAAGAAAAGCCTTTGCCAGGAAAAGACCTTGTCTCTTGGCCGTCCAGAGGCCGTCTGGGTAGTAGCCCTGGTCCAGGACAAGGCCTTTGACTTACTTCTCCTATAACCAAGGGATAAAAAAGGTTAAACTTTATTATTCCTACTAAATAAGGAAACTCAAAAAGTTTAAAGTTCAGCTGTTGGAGAAGTAAGTTGAACGTACTTGCCAGTGGTCTTGGGTTTGGGGTTGGAGGTTTGGGGTTTGGGGTTTAGGGTTTAGGGTTTAGGGTTTAAGGGTTAAGGGTTAAGGGTTTAGAGCTGAGGGTTTAGGGTTTAGGGTTTAGGGTTTAGGGTTGAGGGTTTAGGGTGTAGGGTGTAGGGTGTAGGGTTTAGGGTGTAGTGTGCAGGTTTAGGGTTTAAGGTTTAGGCTTTAGGCTTTAGGGTTTAGGGTGTAGGGTGTAGGGTTTAGGATTTAAGGTTTAGGGTTTAGGCTTTAGGGGTTAGGGTTGAGGTTTAGGGCTTAGGGTTTAGGGTTTAGGGTTTAGTTAGGGGTTTATGGGCTTAGGGCCCAGAGTTCAAGGTTTCGGGTTGAGGGTTTAGCTGCCTAGACCTCTTGCGACATCCAGGCGGCGCAAGAATAAGGGCCGACCATTCAGGAGGATCTCGTCGCCACGTACGGCCACCACGCGAAGAGCAGTGTAAGAAGTGACCTGGCCATGCAGTCGTAGGCTTACCCGAAACCCTAAACCCTAACCCCTAGACCCTAAACCCTAAATCCTAAACCCTAAGCCAGCCCCCTTTCGATGCATGGGGTTGATAGGGGCACCAGGAGACCTTATAAAAGGGCAAAGGTGGAAGGGCAGTTTGCTAGACATTAAACCCTACTTGCACCGTGAGGTCTAAAACACGTCCTTCTTTGCGGCTGCACGGCAACCCTAGACCATGTAATTCTAAAAACCCTAAAATGCTAGACCCTCATGCTGGTTCTGGGTTTCAAAAGTTCAGCCTCACAGTTCAACCCTGGAACCCCCCCCCCCCCCCCCCCCCCCGCCGGCCACAAAAGGTAGGTCTTGTCATAGAAGGCCTTTATGCCTGAGGTTAGGGTTCAGGCTTTAGGGTTTAAGGTCTTCTAAGGTTGAAATTCCAAACCCTAAACCCCCAAACCCGAAACCCAAAAAGGTTCTGGGAGCGTTTGATGCTGTAAGGTCTGAACTTCAAGCACACCGAAAGTCTCGCAAACGTAAATCCCTAGGGTTTAGGATTTAGGGTTTAGGGTTTAGGGTTTAGGGTTTAAGTTAAGCTCTGAACCCTAATTAGGGTTTCGGGTAGAGAGTTGCGCCTCGTCTACCAGTATGCCGCGATCAAAGAGCCGGTACTTCCTCAGATTCGGGTTCAGGGCTACTAGAGCGAACATGTAACTTGTAGATCCTGACTATGGAGCATAGAGTAAAAAGACAAAGATTAGGGCCCCGACTCGAACACCCTCTTTCACTATACACCAAACCCTAAACCCCTAACACTCTACACCCTACACCCTGAACCCTAACCCTAAACCCCTATAGGGATCGATACACCCTACACCCGACAGAGCACACTGCAGAAACCGCGAAGTCCCTATTCCCGCCGTACAACCTCCCTCAGGCTTCGCAAGGCTCCCTTTCCCATGACGCGGAGTCCCCGTGAGGCTCCCCCTTGAAGTAAAGCACGCAAGGAAACAAACCAAAACCCTATATAAACCCTAAACCCTAAACCCTAAACCCTAAACCCTAAACCCTAAACCCTAAACACCCTGAACCCTAAAGACCCTAAACCCTAAACCCCAAATCCAGCCCAGGGCGCAAGCCGTACAGGTACGGCCGGCTCGGACTCCAGAGTCTGGCCCAGCCGCGGGGCACCTCTTCGGGGTTTAGGGTTTAGGGTTTAGGGTTTAGGGTTTAGGGTTTAGGGTTTGGGGTTTAGGGTTTGGGGTTTAGGGTTTAGGGTTTAGGGTTTAGGGTTTAGGGTTAGGGTTTAGGGTTTAGGGTTTAGGGTTTAGGGTTTAGGGTTTAGGGTTTAGGGTTTAGGGTTTAGGATGTTTAAGGGGGGGTGGGGGTAGGGTTCGGTCTCTGGAACCTATAAACCCCCACCGGCGCCTGCAGGAAGAGGGCAGACGCCAGGTTCCCGACCGCCCGAGCCAGCGGAACCTGCGGGAGATGGATCCCTTTTTCGGGTTTAGGGTTTAGGGTTCAGGGTTTAGGGTTTAGGGTTCAGGGTGTAGGGTTTAGGGTAATACCCGAATGCCCTAAAACCCTAGTACCCTAATAACATAATACCCAAAACCCTTTTGGGGTTCAGGGCTTCGGAAGAAAGAACCGATGAACCAAACAGGCTGCACTGTTTCCATCTCAAGAAACTCGCGCGCTCTATGTTACAACCCTAAGCCTTAAACCCTAAACCCTAAACCCTAAGCCTTAAACCCGAGACCCCGGACCAAAGAGCCTCCTTCTGGGAGGTTCATTGGTGGCTACCAACCCTAGACCCTAAACCCTAAACCCTAAACCCTAAATCCTGCCTTCCGGTGCACGTCCAGGAAGAGAACGGCCTCCACCACCAACCCTGCCGAAGAAGTGCCCGGGGCCAGCTCGGGGCGCATCTCCAGGGACCAGTCTACCATCTCCTTCATGTTGGCTTAGGGTTTAGGGTTAAGGGTTGAGGGTTGAGGGTTGAGGGTTGAGGGTTGAGGGTTGAGGGCTTAGGGTTCAGGGATAAGGGTTTAGGGTTTAGGGTTTGGGGTTTGGGGTTTAGGGTATAGGGTTTAGGGCTTAGGGCTTAGGGCTTACAAGGGATTCAAGTAGGGCTTCGGGATTCGCAGTCGAAGGCTCAAGACAAAAATCGCCTTTCCGCCCTGTGAGCACCTTAGTAAGTGGATGTGTGTGGTCATGATATGAGGTAATATAGGGGCCTTCATAACTAGAACAGGGTTTTGGGGTTATGATAGTATAAATATAAAGGAACCATAAGGAAATGCTATTGGTAATTATTGCGACCCCTTTTTACGTTCTCTAAGGTAGGGTCCCCCATATCGCGCGGCATCCTGACAATCAGGACCCTCAAAAGAGACCCAAAATTTAGAGAACGACCCAAGCACAGAAGTGGCATAGTTCAGGGCACAGATCTTACAGAGTCTTAGTAGCCCCATAACCATATTCTGTACAGGGGCAGCCTGTTTTTGAGGTTGGCTACCTTATAAGGGAACCCAGAACCAAAAAAGTGTAAAAGGGTACCACAGGGATTTAGGGTTTAGGGTTCAGGGCTACCAAGGAGTTTACGCGAAGCAAAAAGACGTGGGCTCTGAAGATCTCATCTCGACAATCCAAAGTTGGCTGGGCGCGACATCCAGAACGAAGGGCCCAAAACCCTAAACTCTAAACCCGAAACCCTGAACCCTATAGCCTCTACCCTAAACCCTAAACCCTATATAAACCCTACACCCTATAAACCATAATTAAACCCCACATAATCCCTACACCCTATATCCCGAAACCCTGTATAGCCTCACACCCTATAAACCCACAACCCGATAAACCCTGTAAACCCTGTAAACCCTGTAAACCCTGTAAACCCTGTAAACCCTGTAAACCCTGTAAACCCTATAAACCCTGTACACCCTACAAACCCTATAAACCCTAACCCCTAAACCCCCTAAACCAGACACCCTAATTTAACTACACCCAAAGCCCTCTAAATCCTAAACCCTAAACCCTAAATCCTAAACCCTAAACCCTATAAACCCGAAGCCCCTGTGAGCATCCTGGTCGGCTCGGGGGGCACAGTGAACGCGGCGCAGGTACCGTGGGCCAACCAGCTCGATCCAGACGCTCCTAGGCTGGAACTAACTTAGGGTTTGCGGTTTAGGGTTTAGTTAGGGCTTTGGGTTTAGGGTTTAGTTAGGGCTTTGGGTTTAGGGTTTAGTTAGGGCTTTGGGTTTAGGGCTTAGGGTTTGGGGTTTGGGGTTTGGGGTGTGGGGTGTGGGGTGTAGGCTTCTAAGGGCTTAAAAGGCTCAGGCTCTAGGGCGCACGTTTGGATTCCAAAGCGACCGTTCGCCCACCCAAAAAGGAGGCCACCCCCAAAACAAGCTCAAAGGCTCTCACCAAACCCAGTGACTCCGGTAGGGTTTAGGGTTTAGGGTTTAGGGTTTAGGGTTTAGGGTTTAGGGTTTAGGGTTTAGGGTTTAGGGTTTAGGGTTTAGGGTTTAGGGTTTAGGGTTTAGGGTTTAGGGTTTAGGGTTTAGGGTCTAGGGTCTAGGGTCTAGGGTCTAGGGTCTAGGGTCTAGGGTCTAGGGTCTAAGGTCTAGGGTCTAGGGTCTAGGATCTAGGGTCTAGGGTCTAGGGTCTAGGGTCTAGGGTCTGTCCGTACCTTTCATTCGGAGGTATTGGAGTCACGGAGTCACTGGCAGTGGCTAAGCAAAGGCGCTGCCACAAGCCGGTGATGTTGGAGTACCTTGACAGAGCTACAGTTGTAGCCCTGAACCCTAAACCCTAAACCCTAAACCCTAAACGCTAAACCCTAAACCCTAAACCCTAAACCCTAAGAGGAGTTGTGTAGGGTTTAGGGTGCAGAGTGTAGGGTGTAGGGCTTAGGGCTTAGGGCTCAGGGGTCCCAAGCCCTGACACCTAAACCCGAAACCCTTGGCTAAGCGCAGGGTTCATTCAAGTGGGGCCCCTGAGTTTCTGGCCCTTGAGGGCTTCAGTGCTTAGGAAGGGTTTAGGGTTGAGGGTATAGGGTTTAGAGTTTAGGGTTTAGGGTTTAGGGTTTAGGGCTACACCCTACTGAACCCAAGCCCTAAGACCCCTGGGGCCGACGCAGAGTCGGCACGTGCGGCCCTTGGCCGCGGTAGGCGCTGGAAACCAGCTGCTTCCCCCTGGGCTCCATGGCCTTGCCATCCGTCTCCTTGGGTTTTGGGGGGTTTAGGGTTTAGGGTTTAGGGTTTAGGGTTTAGGGTTTAGGGTTTAGGGTTTAGGGTTTAGGGTTTAGGGTTTAGGGTTTAGGGTTTAGGGTTTAGGGCTTAGGGTTGCAAAGAACCACCGGGACAAGGTCTTATGTGGGCTGCATGTTGGGTACAAGGTTCGGGTGGGAGTAGCATTGGATAGCCCAGGCGATGAGACACGCCGTGCATAGCTTGGTGATTGAGTGAAGTCTTGGCTTCTTGGCTGCCCTTAGCAGGGTAGCTAGAAATTTAATGTTTAGCTGCCTTCTTAAGAAACCCAATAAGCCCAAAAAGGCTAAAGATGTAAAGTTACAGTAAAGCGCCACAAAGGCTTGATAGGGTCTAGGAGTGTAGGGTTTATGGTTCAAGGAGCTGAATAGCCGATAGCAACGCCCTGTACCCTGAATCCTAAACCCTGAACCCTAAACCCGACACCTAAATTCGCAGGGGTGGATTGGGGGGTCCTTGAAACATGAATCTCTATGGGTTGGGGTCTTTGGCCTTCATGGCTCTGTGGGTTGGGGTGTAGGGATGTCTGAAAAAGGGTTTGGGGTTTGGCGTTTGGGGTTTAGGGTTTAAGGGTTTAGGGTATGCAAAAAGGAGATGCAGGCACTGAGAACTCGACAACATATTTCCAAAGCAAACCCAGAAAGAGTCTCTTCATGGTCGGTGCACTTGATCAGCACTTCATCCTCCTGGGCGCCTGACAGCGCGTCGGTGATGTCGTACTCGAAGGCGGTGGAGCCGCCGACGTGCGGCTTCCCGACGGCGACGCCGTTCACGAGAACCACGCAGGTGTAGTCGCAGGCGCCTGCGCGCAGGCGGTCTAGTTTTAGGGCTTGGGGGTTTTACGGCGTTTAACCCTAAACCCTAAACCCTAAACCCTAAACCCTACACCCCAAACCCTAAACCCCATAAAGAATAACCAGAAGGCCTATGTGCAAGAGCACACGCTTGCGGCCAGCAGCTTCTCTCCAAGTTCTGGGCAGCTGGAGACATCGCCGATACCAGAGCTCGTACCTTACTTCCCCAATACCCAGAAACCCTGGGTTTAGGGTTTACGGTCTGGGGTTGAGTATACCCAGAAAACCCAGTGAACGCCATAAACTCCATCCCCAAACCCTAAACCCTAAACCCCGAACCCTCAACCTTAAACCCTAAACCCTCAACCCTCAAACCTAAACTAGAGAAGCCACGATGCTTCTTGGCCAGCCCGGGCGCGAGGGGGGGAGGGTGCCTTGGAAGCCCAGCAACCAGATCACAATGAGGGTAATCTTTTGCGGGGTGTTGGCTAATTGGATGAGAGAACCTTACATTCGAAACCCTAAACCCTAAACCCTAAACCCTAAACCCTAAACCCTAAACCCTAAACCCTAAACCCTAAACAAAGAGGGCAAAAGGGCACCACGATCCCAACCGAAGCTTCAGCCCCAAGGCCGTACGCCGCTTCACCGACAAGCAGGCCAAGGCCCCCGAAAGAGGCGACTGCAAGCCTCAGAAGGCTTGAAGCTTTGGGATTTGAAGGGTTAGGGCTTAGGGTTTAGGGTTTAGGGTTTGGGGTTTAGGGTTTAGGGTTTAGGGTTTAGGGTTTAGGGTTGAGGGTTGAGGGTTGAGGGTTGAGGGTTGAGGGTTGAGGGTTGAGGGTTGAGGGTTGAGGGTTGAGGGTTGAGGGTTGAGGGTTGAGGGCTTGGGGTTTAGGGTTTAGTACACTTAGGAGGTTCTGGCTACTCAATAACCCAAGTATACCTGTACTTCTTTGGGGTTGAGGGTTTAGGGTTTGGGCTGTAGCGTACTTAGAACCAGCTCAGCAGCCCCGTAAGCGCCCCACAGAATAAGATTAAAAACTGGGTGCAGTTCCTAAACGCCAGACCCTAAACCCGAAACCCCAAACCCGAAACCCGAAACCCACAGGTTGCCGCGGACTTTCTTTTACTTTAGGGTTCAGGGTTCAGGGATCAGGGATCAGGGTTCAGAGATCAGGGTTCAGGGTTCAGGGTTTAGGGTTTAGGGTTTAGGGTTTATGCTTAGGGTTTAGGGTTTCGACACGACTCAAATCGGTCTTCAGGATGCACGAAAAAGAACTACTTGGGGTTTAGGGTTTAGGGTTTTAGGGTTTTAGGGTTTTAGGGTTTTAGGGTTTAGGGTTTAGGGTTTGGGGTTCAGGGTTTAGGGTTTTAGGGTTCAGGGTTTGGGGTTTAGCGTTTCACCTGAAGTTTGGGATGTTCCACCTTATACTAGCAGTCCTTAACAGGGACTATCATAGGGAGAAGGGTACGTGTGAGTATCAGGGGGAGCATCCCAACCTGAAATCTTTTAGGGTTTAGGGTTTAGGGTTTAGGGTTTAGGGTTTAGGGTTTAGGGTTTAGGGTTTAGGGTTTAGGGTTTAGGGTTTAGGGTTTAGGGTTTAGGGTAAATCCTCAGGGGGTGGTTCCATGTTAGGGGCTTACTACTGTCTGCTTAAGAAGCACCCCAAGAAAATATTCTTCCCTATAAGGGTAACCTGTAGCCCTAAACCCTAAACCCTAAACCCTAAATCCTAAACCCTAAACCCTAAACCCTAAATCCTAAACCCTAAGCCCTAAACCCTAAATCCTAAACCCTAAATCCTAAACCCGGTCTCAGCGCTTAAGGGTTTCAGGGTTCAAAGGCTTGGGGTTGCTTCTATTGAAAAGGAAACCAGGGGTATTGCTGGGAGGGTTTAGGGTTTAGGGTTTAGGGTTTAGGGTTTAGGGTTTAGGGTTTAGGGTTTAGGATTTAGGATTTACGGTTTAGGGTTTAGGGTTTTGGGTTTTGAGTTTTGGGGTTTAGGCTGCATAGCAGCAGAAGGGGACGATGATCTCGCCCTCCCAGGTGTCTGGGGTGACAAGCGGGTGCTTCGCATCACTTGCCCGGATGGAGAACCTCGAGTTTAGGGCCTGGGGTTTAGGGTTTAGGGTTTAGGGTTTAGGGTTTAGGGTTTAGGGTTTAGGGTTTAGGGTTTAGGGTTTAGGGTTTAGGGGATTAAAGTCACAGGTAACCCTAAACCCGAAACCCAGGGACGAGAAAAGGTAACCCAAGCCTCAGTCCCCTACACCCTAAACCCTAAAGAAAGGGAATCTGATGCCCTGCACCCCAGACCGCTACCCTAAGCCCTCTGAACCCTAAAGGGAGACTAGAGTTTAGGGTTTAGGGTTTAGGGTTTAGGGTTTGGGGTTTAGGGTTTAGGGTTTAGGGTTTAGGGTTTAGGGTTTAGGCCAAAGTGGCATCCTTGTCTAGTTCGTCTCCCCTCGGTGAGGTCTCTGCTGGAGTATCTTGCTGATGGGACTCTTGCCACATCCGCACAACCGCAAACCCCTCAAGAGGCGAAACGCCCAGAGCCCGGCCCAAACCCCAAACCCTAAGCCTTAAGCTCTAAACCCTAAACCCTAAACCCTAAACCCTAAACCCTAAACCCGTATTCCTCGTAGTTTTAAGTTTACCAGAAAATGGCCCACACTTGCGATCCCTCCACGTGCTTCTGGCTTGTTGGGTGACCTTTTTTTGCTTGTGGCAAGTGAAACCAACGGAGGCTGTGGGTTCGATGGGAGTTTAGGGTTTAGGGTTTTGGGTTTAGGGTAATAAACCCTAAACCCTAAACCCTAAGCCCTAAGCCGCTAAGCCCTAAACCCTAAGCCCTAAGCCCCAAGCCCCAAACCCTAAGCCCTAAGCCTTAAGCTCTAAACCCTAAACCCTAAACCCTAAACCCTAAACCCTAAACCCTAAACCCTAAACCCTAAACCCTAAACCCTAAACCCTAAACCCTAAACCCTAAACCCTAAGCCCTAAACCCTAAACCAACCTAGAAAACACTTTCTAAACACCAGCCCATGAACTGCCATGCTCCATTCAAGCACTTCCACTCCCGTCGCTGGAAGAGCGGATTTGGATGCTCGGGTCTGGGAGGGCATGGCTCCGCGTCAGCGTTCATCACTTTGGGTTTAGGGTTTAGGGTTTAGGGTTTAGGGTTTAGGGTTTAGGGTTTAGGGTTTAGGGTTTAGGGTTTAGGGTTTAGGGTTTAGGGTTTAGGGCCTAGGGCTTCGGGCTTAGGGCTTAGTAGAGTCTAGGGTCCACTTAAGATACTTAAGGGATTTTGGTTCTAGGGTTCCTTCATATGGGCCCTGAGAGGAAGCCTTATAAAAACCCAGGGCCCATGCTTCAGAACCATTCAACGAAGGTGGAGACCATGCTAAGGGGCCATGTAAGTTCTCTTAGATTTGGGGTTTGGGGTTCAAGCTTTCGGGTTCCTTATGGGTTTAGGGTCGAGGGTTTAGGTTTTAGGGTTTAGGGTTTAGGGTTTAGGGTTTAGGGTTTAGGGCTTAGGGTTTAGGGTTTAGGGGGACCCATGGGTTCGGCACACAGGGCTTAGCTAAGGAGCTTCCCGGCTGCGACGCGAAATGGCTGCGGGGGCTGCACCCCTAGGTTTAAGGGTTTAGGGTTTGGGGTTTGGGGTTTAGGGTTTAGGGTTTAGGGTTTAGGGTTTAGGGTTTAGGGTTTAGGGTGTAGGGTGTAGGGTTTAGGGTTGAGGGTTTAGGGTTTAGGGTTCGACCCCCAACCCGTAATAAGACCCACCTGACCCGTAAGCGTGCCTTATCCGGGCCTCATTCGGGTTAGGGCCATCGTTGCGAAGATCGACTCACTCAGGCCAGCCACACTTGAACGCAGACACCACGGCGCCATTGCGAAAGGGCCATACGTAGCGGTATCGATTTCCAGAATGTCTCGTGTGTAACTTTCCCTAAAACCCTAAACCCTAAACCCTAAACCCTAAACCCTAAACCCTAAACCCTAAACCCTAAACCCTAAGCCCCAGGGCAGGTAGCGGGGGGCAGAAGCAAGTCGCTCATCCCTGTAAAGACTTAAATCAGGTTCGGTCAGGCTGCCGGAACACATGAAGCCGAGGCTTTGCGGGTGAGACCCTGAACCCCTAAACCCTAAACCCTAAACCCTAAACCCTAAACCCTAAACCCTAAACCCTAAACCCTAAACCCTAAACCCTAAACCCTAAACCCTGAACCCTAAACCGGGTCGGGGGACTTAGTAGGGAGAGATAGTAAGTAGACTTCTAAGTACCCTAAAAGGGACCCTAACTGGAGTTATCCGACTTATAACTCTATTCGATAGCTACATACTAAGTCCTCCGACCCTCCAAGTAAACCTTGAACTCCAAAAGCCCTGAGAAAGCCCAGAAAGCCCAGAAAAGCCCTAAGCCCAAATAGGGTTTAGGGTTTTAGGGTTTTAGGGTTTTAGGGTTTTAGGGTTTTAGGGTCTTAGGGTCTTAGGGTCTTAGGGTCTTAGGGTCTTAGGGTCTTAGGGTCTTAGGGTTTTAGGGTTTTAGGACTTTAGGGTTTTAGGGTGTTAGGGTTTTAGGGTTTTAGGGTTTTAGGGTTTTAGGGTTTTAGGGTTTTAGGGTTTTAGGGTTTTAGGGTTCTAGGGTTTTCGGGTTTTCGGGTTTTCGGGTTTTAGGGTTTTAGGGTTTAGGGTTTAGCCTTAACCCTATAAACCCTGAACTGGCGCAAGCACCATATACCTGGGTGCTCGAACAAGGCTCTGCCCTAAACCCCAAAACCTTGAACCGTAAACCCTAAACCCTAAACCCTAAACCTTGAACCGTAAACCCAAGGCCCTAAACCCAACTTTAAAACGCCCGGGATCCGTGCGATATCCAAGGTGGTCCTCTGGCATGTTTCGGCTTGCCTTTGCGGTTCAGGGTTTAGGGTTTAGGGCTTAAGGGTTTAGGGTTTAGCGTTTAGGATACAGCAAGCACGTGTACCTAAGTCCTTGCCCACTGCTTTGGGCGGGCGACAGCCCCGTTTCGAGCTTGGGTCTTAGGGTACGTAACCCAAAACCCTAAACCCTAAACCCCAAACCCGAAACCTGTAAACCCTGAGGGTTTGAGGTTTAAGGGCCTTATACGTCGGCTGTGCTCATAGAAGTGTCTACACGAAACAGCGGTAACTCCACAATCTGCAAGCCGTTGGGGAACTGGATCCCCTCCAAGCTCTGGTTGAACTTGTCCCCAAATATCAATGTCTGCAGGGTGCTGGGCAGCTGGATGCGCTCCAAGCTCTGGTTGAAGTCATGTCCGAACGTCAACCCCTGCAGGGTGCTGGGCAGCTGGATCCCATCCAAGCTCTGGTTGAAGTCCAAGCCAAACGTCAACGTCTGCAGGGTGCTGGGCAGCTGGATCCCCTCCAAGCTCTGGTTGAAGTCACAGCCAAACGTCAACGTCTGCAAGGTGCTGGGCAGCTGGATGCCCTCCAAGCTCTGGTTGAAGTCACAGCCAAACGTCAACGTCTGCAAGGTGCTGGGCAGCTGGATCCCCTCCAAGCTCTGGTTGAAGGACCGACCAAATGTCAACGTGCGCAGGGTGCTGGGCAGCTGGATGCCCTCCAAGCTCTGGTTGAAATTGTCGCCAAATATCAATGTCTGAAGGGTGCTGGGCAGCTGGATCCCCTCCAAGCTCTGGTTGAAGGCATGTCCAAACGTCAACCGCTGCAGGGTGCTGGGCAGCTGGATCCCCTCCAAGCTCTGGTTGAAGTCGTGTCCAAACGTCAACGTCTGCAAGTTGCTGGGCAGCTGGATCCCTTCCAAGCTCCTGTTGAAGTCCCAGCCAAACGTCAACGTCTGCAGGGTGCTGGGCAGCTGGATGCCCTCCAAGCTCTGGTCGAAGAACTCGCCAAATGTCACTGTTTGCAGGGTGCTGGGCAGCTGGATCCCCTCCAAGCTCTGGCTTTGGCCAAATGTCAATGCCTGCAGGGTGCTGGGCAGCTGGATACCCTCCAAGCTCTGGTTGAACTTGTCGCCAAAGATCAATGTCTGCAGGGTGCTGGGCAGCTGGATCCCCTCCAAGCTCTGGTTGAACTTGTCGCCAAACGTCAACGTCTGCAAGGTGCTGGGCAGCTGGATGCCCTCCAAGCTCTGGTTGAAGGACCGACCAAATGTCAACGTGCGCAGGGTGCTGGGCAGCTGGATCCCCTCCAAGCTCTGGTTGAAGTCACAGCCAAACGTCAACGTCTGCAGGGTGCTGGGCAGCTGGATCCCCTCCAAGCTCTGGTTGAAGTCACAGCCAAACGTCAACGTCTGCAAGGTGCTGGGCAGCTGGACGCCGTCCAAGCTCTGGTTGAACTTTTTGCCAAATATCAATGTCTGCAGGGTGCTGGGCAGCTGGATCCCCTCCAAGCTCTGGTTGAAGGCATGTCCAAACGTCAACCGCTGCAGGGTGCTGGGCAGCTGGATGCCCTCCAAGCTCTGGTTGAAGTCATCTCCAAACGTCAACCGCTGCAGGCTGCTGGGCAGCTGGATGCCCTCCAAGCTCTGGTTGAAACTGTCGCCAAATATCAATGTCTGCAGGGTGCTGGGCAGCTGGATGCCCTTCAAACTCTGGTTGAACTTGTAGCCGAACGTCAACGTCTGCAGGGGGCTGGGCAGCTGGATGCCCTCCAAGCTCTGGTTGAAGTACCGACCAAAAGTCAACGTTTGCAGGGCACCATGCTCTGGTTGAAGTCCCAGCCAAAGGTCAAGGAGACGACTTCATTGGCAGCGCACACATCCGCAGGATTGAAGGCTTTCTTCGCAAGCGTTTTCTCTAAGCTCACTGCGGCCCGACCTGCACCGAAGCGTTGAGCCACGTACGTGACTTCGTCGTTCGTCACCTGTTCCAGCAAGGGCCCACGCAGATCGAGCACACCGCCGCCAGAGGTCAGCATGAGGGACTCCGCGGGACGGCCGACTTGGGCTGCTACCGCACCACTTCCCAGCCCGTTGCCGTAGGGTCTAAATCGACCTGAACGGCGTGGCCTCTCCGAGCATTGGGGCAGGCTCCGCGGGTCCGTGCAAGCCATCGCTTTCGGCCTCCGGATCTTCGCTCATGTCGCTCCTCCTGGGCGACTGGTCTTGAAACCTGAACGGCTGCGCGTACACCCTGCAATTGTTTAAGAAAGGGGCTTGGGATGTGCCCCCTTTATGAGCCTTATACGATCAGTCCTGAATAGGGATTATCGCACCCCCCCCTATTGTAGTCCCTATTAAGGCCTGATAGCATAAGGGGGGAACATCGGGTGGTTGAGTTGTCAATCACGTGGGAGATAAGAAGTACCGGCAGCTCGAGTGCTTGGTTTAGGGTTTAGGGTTTAGGGTTTAGGGTTTAGGGTTTAGGGTTGAGGGTTGAGGGTTGAGGGTTTAGGGTTTAGGGTTTAGGGTTTAGGGTTTAGGGTTTAGGCTTTAGGATTTAGGGTTTAGGGTTGTGTAGGACACTTTCAATACGCTACATTTCGCCTCCGCATGATTGACTTTCAGATTTCTCAGCCCTTCCCTTTCAGGGTATAGCGTTTCGGGTCTGGGTTCAGGGCCCCGAACCCTAAACCCTAAACCCTAAACCCTAAACCCTAAACCCTAAAGCCCTAAACCCTAAACCCTAAACCCTAAACCCTAAACCCTAAACCCTAAACCCTAGGTTTTGGGGGACTTGGGGTTTGGGGCCTGAAGGTCCTGAGCAATCTCAGCAACCTAAGCATGCAAAGGGGGCGCCGGTCATATGACAACCCTATAATCAACTATAATCTCCTCATAACTACTAATTGCTTAAGAACCCCCCAAAAATAAAGACTATTCCTCCTTATTAAGGGTAATATAGGGATGAATATGTTTTCTATTCTTTTGGGGTTCTTAAGCAAATGGTAGATAATGACCCAAAAACAACACTCGCGAAAGCCTTATAATCACCCCATATCAACCCTGGCCGATGTGGGGTTTGTAGAACAAGGTTTGGGCTTTAGGGTTTAGGGTTGAGGGTCTCGGGCTTTAGGCTTTCGGGATACTAAGGTTTACATATTAGATGTGGCTTGTTTTGGGGGTCGCCAGAAGTTGAACAGAACCCCCCCCCCCCTCCGAGTAGATGTGGCTTGTTTTGGGGGTCGCCAGAAGTTGAACAGAACCCCCCCCCCTCCGACGCCTGAAACACCCGGAAACATGCAAAAACACGCGGGTTCGCAATCAAGGACATAAGCCCCTAAACCCTCAACCCTCAACCCTCAACCCTCAACCCTCAACCCTAAACCCTAAACCCTAAACCCCACAAGCCCTGAGTCCGCTGCATCATCGAGCCGGCAAGCTGCCACTGCGCCTGGCACGCCGACAGCGCAGCCTGGCCACAAAAGCGCAGTGTGGGGTTTAGGGTTTAGGGTTTAGGGTGTAGGGTTTGGGGTTTAGGGTTTAGGGTTTAGGGTTTGGGGTTTAGGGTTTGGGGTTTAGGGTTTGGGGTTTAGGGTTTAGGGTTTAGGGTTTAGGGTTTAGGGTTTGGGGTTTGGGGTTGGGGTTTAGGGTTTGGGGGTTTAGGGGCTTCAGGTTGTAGGGCTTATGAGTTTAGGGTTAGGGGGTTTGAGGCGGCACCTTCAACCCTAAACACAAAACCCTATAAACCCCATAAACCGTACAAACCCTATAAACCCTATACACCCTATACACCCTATAAACCCTATAAACCCTATAAACCCTATAAACCCCAAACCATGGCTACGTAACTTGGGACCAAAAAAACGAGTACACTTCTTGCTTATTGGGGTTCAGAAGTGAACACGGGAGCAAGCAAAGGCCCGCTGGGCCTTCAACCCCAAACCCCA